AGTAGGACACAAAAAAGATGCACCTCCTCTGACCAAGTGAAAAACATACATTATTCACATTAAACATAGACACACAAGTTAAACAAAAAACAAAAACATTTTTTCATTGAGTCATACTCACAATTTATATTTCCTATATTCCTAATTTGGCTTTTTTCACAGTTTTGTTTTGTGCACATGCGTACACACACACAAACACATACACACACATTATATTTTTTGCTTATGCTATATGATATATAATGTATGATGTGTGGTATACATACATACATGCATACATGCATACATACATACATACACACATACTAAGTTAATACCATGTGTGAGGTCTCAGACAAACAAAAGTTGAGAAAAATGGGCTTTCTGCTGAACTGGCAGGAGGGGAGCTCCTGAGTCCCTGAGCATCCTGACACTCAGATGCTGAAGTAGTCTCAAGGTCTGCAGCAGGCAGTTGCTTCCAAAGACATGAGGTGTCCAGATGAAAGTCTTGGCCATGTCATGTAAATTGGTCTTTTACTAAGGTAGATTCTATATAAGGTGGGAGTAGGAGTACTCAAAGATAGATGCCTAATTAACCTGTGTCCAAACTCCTTCAATGCCTTGATGTCACCTGGGTCCCTGCAGTTTTTTCAGAGCTCTGTGAAGTGCCTCAAATCATGACTCTCCCTGCTGCCCTACAGGTCACATTGCTACCTAGATTGGCACAACCTCAGACCATCATTCTGAGGCTGGATACTTTTTCTTATGGCATTAGACTTCTCATGCCTACTAGATTCTAAATCCACAATGAAACAAATTGACCTGAATGGAAACGTCAGAAATCCAATATTAGTAGGGGTAATTGTGGTTAAGAGCACTGAAGGTCACCCAGGAACATTTCTCAGAAAAGACACACGTTCTTAGAACTAATCTCCTTAGCCTTTGGCTCCATTCTCTACAACATGTCAGTGATCTTGGCTATTTCAATTCAGAGCCTGAGGAACTTGCTTTACATTAGACTCATCTGTTGCTGCTATATAGACACTGTCTCTCTTCATTCCTGGTTCATAATGCCAATAGTAATAATAATGACTAGTGACTACTTAGACCCTTCACTTCCCTGGCATTGTTCTATATCTTTTTAGGTTTTCATGTTCTCCTTACAAAAGTCTTGTGAGTAAAGACAGTCATTGTCTCCCTTTTACAAACCTGGAAATGGGTTAAACAGCCAAACAGCACTGTTTTTCAAGTCGACTTCAAATCTTCCCCTTCTAGGAGCCTCTTTATGATGGTGGCTAAAGGTCTAAGCATCCAGGTTAGAGTCCTCTCTTCAGATACATGGTTTTCAGGGAGATGTGGTTTCCTAGTTTTACAGGAAGGCCACTGTGCCTGGTTTCCAGGATTCTCAGGAAGTCAGAATGAGATGATGTAAAGAAAGCTTCAAGAACAGGTTCTGGTATATTATAAACACTTGATCATTAACTTGTGTATCCTTTTCTCAACCAGGAGGTGCCCCTTTAATCTGCTGAGCTCTCTGTCAGCATTGACCATTCTTCTCCATTATAGCCTGTGCAGATGCTGAGGATGTTTCCTCAGTGTGTGTCTCACTCAGCTACAGAGTGTGCTGGATGAGGTAGGTAGGATGAGGTCCGATATCTACTGAATGGATATGGTTCAGATCATAACCTTATATTGATTTTAGAACCAAACAGTTCACAGCTGTAATATATATTTGTTAGTTTTCTCCTCAAAGAGGAGTGTGGTGAAATGTAATTCTAACCAAAATTCCAACCATTCAAAAATGCCTGATAAAGGAATGGGTCTTGTATATTTAAAAAAAGGACTTTATAGTTTTAAATTAAGATATATTTATTTATTTTATATGTTTAGGGTTAGGAGTATCATAGCACACATGTGGAAGTCAGAAGTTAACTCATGGGAGTTTGTTCTTTTCTTCCATTCTGTGCATTTTTGAGTCATGTGTGTACATGTATGTGTGCCCAAATATATCCATGTATGGGCAAACACTCATACATATGCACATAATTAAAAAATAAGAGTATTCTGAATGTGAAAAGAGCATCTACTTGAAAGAGTACACTCAGGTGGATTCAACAGTCATTGAGGAAATGTTTCTGTTGCCAACTTCGTGGTGTTTTACAAGGGTGTTGGGGATTCAAACTCCGGTCCTCACATTCACATGGCAAGTACTTCTCCAGCACAGCCATCTCCCAAACACCTTTCAACTACATTGTTAAAGCTTCTTAGGTTTACTATATGACATGATAGATAGAGATTCAGATACTATCCATTTACATACAAGTTGTATGTGTCCTTAGTAACTTTTGAGAGTATTAAGAGGGCCTTAGATTCCTGGCAGTGCTGGCTCATCTCTTCAGTCCCACTCGGAAGGCAGAGGCAAGTGGAAGGCCATCTTAGTCTATGACCTTGTCTTCAACATTAAAGACAAAAGAAAACAAACAAACAAACAAACAAGAAGGAAAGAAAGAAAAAAGAAAAAAAGGATAAAGAAAAAGGAGGTCCTTAGAACCCAAGAAGTTTGAGGACTGCTGCCTTAGACTAGCATGCAGTCTACTGAGGAGATCAGACTTCATGATAATTTACTATAGTCACTAGGCAGTAATAATAAATGACAGCCACTATTAGTAACAATACTGATGTTAATTTGTGAGGCTAGGCACTGGGTTCTGTGGTACACACACACACACGCACACGCGCACACACACACCTATTCTGAATTTTTTGGAACTAGAAAACTTTTTGGTTTCCCTAGAATGTGGAATATTTGCATACCCAGGAGACGTTGTAGGACAGAACCCCCCAAATATAACAGCCACAATTTTCTTGAGATGTCTGTCTCTTACATCTGTGATCTGAAACTGTCATTTTACACATGTTGAAACAGCCACACTGGATTCCAGTTGTAGAAATTTTCCACTTTTAGCATGACTTGAATGCTCAAAATGATTTAGATTATGAAGCATTTTGGATTTTCTGCTCAAAATCACTCAGTGTGGGCTGAGGAAATGGCTAGCTAGTCTGGCACACACACCAGCAAACAAAGAGACCCTGTCTCAACAAAGATGGTGGGTGAGCATCAACAACCAGGTTGCACTCTGGCCTCCACATGTGCACCATGGAATGCACATGTCTGTACTCATATGGGTGTGCACACATATACATGCACATACTTCATACACAGAGCAAAGAAAGCGCTCTCTCTCTCTCTCTCTCTCTCTCTCTCTCTCTCTCTCTCTGTGTGTGTGTGTGTGTGTGTGTGTGTGTGTGATATTTAAACCTTTGTTAATCCTACAGAACTAGGGTAGTAATCCCTCAACATGTCAGGTCAGTCAGTAACTAATCTACTACCACAGCTAGTGAGACCTGAAACTTGATCCAGACCATCAGCCAGTGCTGTTCCTCTGTCTAGGGAATGATGGCTCCTGAAAGGAATGCTGCCTGGATAACAGTTATCCAGAGCTTTACAAATTGTTTCCCAAAATCTTTGTTAAATATATTAGTTCCTGTAATTCTCACAGTACCATAAGGTAATGCAGATCCCCTTGGAGATGTGTCCAAGGGCTGTGTTCTTTCCATTGTTTACACTGCTTATTGAGTTATTCTCATTGAAGTATTCACACGCTACTGGACACTTGCATGGATTTAGCTACCCTTTACTTTTTTCACAGCATAGGCGTGCTCCAACTAGTCTGGAGGTATTTTGTAAAGACCCAGAGAATAAAAGGTTTAGGTTTATAGGACAAGGTGCTAAATGATGGATGTTCTATAGATACTAATTGAACCAGAGATAAAACATGTCCCACAATGTTTATTTCTTAGTTTATGTCTATGGATGTCTTGTTTGCATATATGGCTGTGTACCACATGTGTGCCATGTTCTTTCTTGTGGAGCCATTAGCAGGTGTCTGATCCCCAGAACTGGAGTTTCAGATGGTGACGTGTGTGCTGGGAATTGGACCCTACCCTCTGAAAAGCAGCTAATGACAGCTTCTGAGTCATGTCCTTATCTCTTCCTACAGTTTTTATTGTTGACATTAAAGATGCAATAACAATAACTGTATACCTTTTAAAGTATATAGCTAATAAAAGAATTGAATTCTTTTAATAATTTGAATAGAGCTTATCTTAATTGGGGCTCAAAATCTTTGGTGTCTTTTATCAAACTGATTACAAATATTCATTTGTAAAAAAACTGTTCTTAATTCCAGGCTGTATCAAGAACAAACAGCAATAAGGGCAGAGTTGGTCTGTGGGGTGCGATTTGGGAGCTGTTGATTTAGTGTGGCTGTTCAAATGTGATCTGTAAAGCAGCAGTTTCTTTACCAACCCTCTCATTTCCCTGTATGTTGGAACCCAAGTGAGTAGGATTCGCTGCCATCTCATTGGCACGAACAGAAACAAAATCCATCAAGGCACACACAGGTGAGGAAACAACTGGCCACCTGAAACCTCTCTGCCTCTGCTGCTCTTGTTTTGCTGCTGCCAAACACTCCTTCCAAAAAAAAAAAAAAACAAAAAAACAAAACAAAGAGCCTTTTCAAAACTAAATCTGTGTTTATCACTCACCTCTGTAATCCTCTTAGAATAAACTAAACCTGTTCCTTTTCTTCTTTTCTCTCCAGGCCAAAACCTAGAGAGGAACTCCCTGACTAGTCGGTTTTCAATACCACTACATTAAAGAGCAGCTCTAACGAATAAAATATTATATAGCGTGTGCGGGGGTGAAGAAATAGAGGACGAAAGTCTTGGGCACACAGATGACTGGAGACCTCCTGGAACCGGAACAGAGAGGACGAGGTGCCTGCTAATTGGAAAAGGTTTTGCTGAGGTCAGGAGACACCACCGGATTCGTCTGTCTAATCTTTGTCTGACATTCCCTCTTCTTCTATACATGGAGCTATACCTCAGGACTGTGTATGGAATTCTCACTCCTGGGGCGCTAAGCACAGGTTGTAACTCCCAGGCCCTGGATGCAACTCCTAGCCCTCCCAATCCACCCCCCACAAGTTCCCACAGAGCTCTTGCCTAAGGTGTCCCAGTTTCTCAAACGTTATTGCCCAGCAACTCACAATTAAAGGCAGGGAACATATGGTGTAGAGCACTGTCAGGAGAGCCAGCAGCACAAAGTGGTCCAGCTCCTCCAAAGGATGCAGGGACCCGTGCCTGTAGTCTGAGCCTGCCTGGGCCGGGTCCCTGGAGCAGCGGCGAGGATGGTGCCTCTGGCGCCTGTGCATGGCATAGAGATTGTACATGGCACCCAGGTTGCATACCACGGTTGCGAGGACCAGCAGCGCCATGAGGCTGGAGTAGAGTACAGAGAAGCCAATTACCGAAAACGAACGCTTCTTGTGTATCATCTGGATGAAGCACCAGGTGCCTGGACAGTACTGCACGAACTTCCCAAAGCCAGCAAAGGGGAGCGCACAGAAAGCTAAGCAGAAGGCGCCCACGACCGGCGCCACCAGCACTCCCCTGCGCAGAGTGATGTGCCTTTGGTAGAAGAAGGGGTGTCCCAGAGACAGCCAGCACTCCAAAGCCATAGCCAGCAGCTGTAAGGCCTCTGCTAGCCCAAAGAAGGACATCAGGAAGGCAAACGTTTCACATAACTGATTGCCTGAGGCAGGCAGTTCCTTTATGCTCCGGTTTTGCGCGTAGGCAGCCAGGACCATCGGGCTGACCAGACACTTGCCCAGCAAGTCGGTGACCGTCAAGCCACACACTAGTACATAAAAGACCGAGGGCGGCGGGTGCAGTGGCCCTAGCCGGCAGGACCCCAGCCCGGAGCGCGCCAGCAGCACCAGTGCCAGGAGATTGCCCAGTAGCCCTGCACTGAAGAGCACACCGCTTATCGTCGCTGAGGAGCCCCTTTCCACCCAGGTGGATGTCTGACAGCGAAAGGACTGGTTCATAGCCCTTGCCCCGTCTGGCTGGAGGGAAGGCTGCAGCCAGGCCAGCTGTGAAGGAGCCCCAGGCTGCTCAGAGCGCGGCTAGGGCACAGAGGTTGTACAGCAGAGAAAGCTCTGCGGGTGGCTGGGTGTTGTTCACTGTCAGCTCTCCTATCTATGCTCCCTAGTCACACCCTTGAGGAGGGCAGGACTCCTCCCCTGTGGGTATCCTGCTGCAGAGCTGGAAGCAGCTCTGCTAAGAACTCAGCCCCATGCACAGGGTCCTAAGGAGAGACCTCTACCCAGAGTCAGAAGGAGAAAGTACCCAGAATCTGAGTGTCCAAGGCTGATCCTTCAGAGGAGGCAAGAGAACTGCAGAGATGGAGAGGGGAACCGAGTAGGAGCCAATGGGGAGAAGGAAAGCCAAGTGCTGGTGGTGGCCATAAACTCTGCAGATAAGCCAAACAGGAAGCCTGAGAAAGAAAGGGCTACAATTTCCGCCACTCTGGAGGCTTGACTCCAAATCTTTCTTAGATAGCTGCAATGTGGAGATTCTTGATGAGGTAAGGAAACAGAGGCCGTAACAAGTTAGGGGATCTGCTTCAGGTGGCAGATTTTGGAAGTGGCAGAGTCGACCAGCAATCAGGCGTTTCTTTAGTACACCTGGCTCCTTTTCCCCAAGAGGGAGAGCAAATTTCAGGGGCAGCCTTCTCTGCACACGGAAAACCAAGAGGTACTATTGAACAGGGCGTCAGAAACCGCTCTGATTGCCATATAGCACGTCTGTTCTGGTTGCGTGGTGCCTTTAGAATATGGAGTTAAGACATAGTCTATGCCTGAGAAGTCCTTGGTGTCTTGGTTGCCACAATTTTATTTGAGGAAAAGTGTTTTTGTTTTGTTTTGTTTTGTTTTGCTTTGCTTTGTTTTGTTTTAGCTGATAGGTAGCTGCAAATTTCAATGTTGATTTGAAACCAGAATGTATAAGCCTTGTTTTAGGGCATTCCCACTGTTCTGGTCTGTGACTACTGGAGAATATTCATTCTATCCTTCTGGCAGTGATTTTCTTGTATCAAAAGAGGGGGGCAGAGTTAACTTGAGTTTCTATATTTGATGCTCCCTATCCTTGGACAAAACCTGGCTTCCAGCTTAGAATTTTAGAGTGATGATTTGGGCCAAGTTACGTAAGCAATATATTATTCCTTTGGATAGAGTTTCATTTGGGGTGCTCTCTACCTCTTCTGATGGATGGAGTCAGGGAGAGGACAGGGCCCTTAGCTTCATATATACGGAATCCTGCAAAGTGGGCAGATAAGCTGCCTCCTGATGAAAGTCTGGCCACAAGTCAGGCCACAGGGCAGGAGGAGTTCAAGCTTTGGAATTACATAGGACTTAAGATTCTGACTTAGTGCTCTCTTGCCCCCTTACTCCTGAGCCTGCAGGCTGTCCCCTCCCCCCTCCTCCCTTCCCTTCCCCCTCTCTCCACGTGGTCATGGCCGGCCTCTACTCCTCTACCTCTCTGCTCTCTCTCTCTCCTCTCACTCTCTTTCTCTCTTAATAAACTCCCCCTTGTGGAAAAAAAAAAAAAGATTCTGACTTAGTGATCCAACTCTAGATGTTGAAGGGGTTTTAATGTCCTTCTCTGTAGGGGATGGGACTGATCTGACCTCACAGGATTGTTGTGAGGCTGAGAAAAGTAAAAAACAAAACAAAACAAAACAAAAAAAACAAAAAAACCAAAAAACCAAAAACCAAAACCCAAAAAAAAAACCCAAAAAAAACCAAAAACAAAACTGCTTGACATAGAGTAATGATAGTAAAACTAACATTGGGGGTTTTATCTATGCTGGGCAACATCAATCATTTCAGGGTGCACTGACTGAAGGCTCTGTGTAGGGTTAGCTCTATGTCTTGTGCCTTCTTTCTCACCCTCATCTAGAAAATAATGCTGAACTTAGACTAGTCCCATGTGCACATGATAGAATGGAAGGGGAAGGAAATTCTATGGCCAATGACAGAAGAATCTGAAGAAGGTAGGGGTCTCTTCCTAAGACAGACTCATAGTTTATATCAATATCAGAAATTCACCATTCCCTGAGGTCCTGTTGTGGTATCTGGAGGTGATTCAATAAACTCAGTTGAAGAATTCTGTCAGGGCATTGCTTGTCCTGCTCCTGAAGAACAGCCAGGTGATTCTTGGTGCCTTTCTCTACTTCTCTATAGCTGTCTGAGTGCAGGGCAGAGGGAGTGGGGAGCCCAACCATGTGAATCACTTTTTAAAAACAAACGTAGTTTCAATATGAGCTGTGGGAACATGATGAAGTTTACACATGTGTTTCAAAGATTGAAGGGTTGAATGGGTACAAGTAAGGAAAGCATGTGTTTCCTCCTGGTTAATTCAGCTGCCCTTTACCCCAGGGTTTCCTGGAGCCTTTCCTGCCTGCTTTGCTGCTGTCCACCCAGCCCTCAGCAAAACATCAGCGTCATTAGTCCCTGTTCCTAGGAACCCTATCAAATGACATCACTGTAGAGCTATGAAACTACCATTTGTTCAAGCATCCAGTACCTTCTTGAGCTCCTCCCCTGTGAGGCTGAGGAGAGGGCTGTTGGCTTTTACAACTAGAAAGGGAAGGCAAACATGTCATGTGACCTTTACAATCTCATGTTTTTCTGTCAGCTTTCAGAGTAAGCAGGCCTAGTTTCTGTTTGTCTTAGAAACTTTCGGTGAAAATATCTTACGCCAGAGACCATCTAGATGTCTCTCATGAAGCATGTGAGTCATATACAGGGTCATTGATCTGGAAGGTCTTAGGGGTTTGCTGTGAGGACTGAGTCTCATCTTTCCTACCCATGAAGCCTGTCATCTCTAGATCTCAATTTTTTTTTTGAAGTGAAGGATCAATTGTCTTGAGCATGCTTTAGAAACACTTGCAAAGATGGCTCATCCAGTAAAGGTGCTCACTACGCCAGCCTGACAAGATGGGTTTAATCTGTGCAAACACATAAAGGTGGAAGGAGAGAACTGACTCTGAAAAGTTGCCCTCTGGCCTTCACATGCCCATACGGTATGCTCTCAGAATCATAAGCACACAGTAATAAGATTTTTTATTATTTTAATTAAAAATACATAAAAAGGTGGGCAGAGGTGGCACATGCCTTTAAGCAAACAAAATGTTTTGTTTGCTTTGTTTGTTGTTGTTTTTTAATTCCCCAGGCCAATTGCTGTGCACCTAGAATGTTAATCCCATGCTCTGTAAGGCCCTAGAAGATGTTAGTCAGTGACTTCATCCTTACCACTCATGTCCCTGAAGCTCCCATTATTCACATTCAAATAAGGAAAAAGAGACATAGAGAAGTTAAGCTGTTTGCACTCGCATAACCAACACATCATGAGTGTAGGATGGCTTCCAGATCTTGGGATTTCCTAAGCCTCTACTTTGGAGAGGACATTGAGAAGTGACTATGAAAGTAGGGAACTGCCATATGGGTTCTGGGAAGTGAGCCTGGGTCCTCTGGAAGAGCAACCAGTGCTCTTAACCTCTGAGCCATCTCACCAGCACACGATCAAGGACCTCCACATAAAACCAGATACACTGAATCTAATAGAAAAGAGACTGGGGAAAAGCCTCAAACACATGAGCACAGGGGAAAATTTACAGAACAGAACATCAATGGCTATGCTCTAAGATCAAGAATCAACAAATGAGACCTCATAAAATTGCAAAGCTCCTGTAAGGCAAAGGACACGGTCATCAGGACAAAATGGCAACCAACAGATTGGGGAAAGATCTTTACCAATCCTACATCTGATGGAAGGCTAGTATCCAAAATATACAAAGAACTCAAGAAGTTAGACTCCAGACAACCAAATAACCCTATTAAAAATAGGAAACAGAGCTAAACAGAGAATTCTCAGCTGAGGAAACTCGAATGGCCTAGAAGCACCTACAGAAATGTTCAACATTCTTAATCATCAGGGAAATGCAAATCAAAACCACCTTGAGATTCCACCTCACACCAGTCAGAATGGCTAAAATCAAAAACTCAGGTGACAGCAGAGCTGGCAAGGATGTGGAGACAGAGGAACACTCCTCCATTGTTGGTACAACCACTTTGGAAATCAGTCTGGTGGTTCCTCAGAAAATTGGTCATAGTACTACTTGAGGACCCAGCTATACCACTCCTGGGCATATACCCAAAAGATGCTCCAACATATAACAAGGACACATGCTTCACTATGTTTGTAGCAGCCTTATTTATAGCCAGAAGCTGAAAACAACCCAGATGTTCCTCAACAGAGGAATGGATACTGAAAATGTGGTACATTTACACAATGAAATATTATTCAGCTATTAAAAACAATGACTTCATGACATTCTCAGGTAAATGGATGGAACTAGAAAATATCCTGAGTGAGGTAACTCAGTCACAAAAGACTACACATGATATGTAGTCACTGATAAGTGGGTATTAGATAAAGAGTTTGAAATATCCATGATACAACTCATGGACCATATAAAGCTCCAGAGAAAGGAAGAACAAAGAGTAGATGCTTCAGTCCTACTTCGAAGGGGGAACCAAATAATCAAGGAAAGTAGAGGTTGGGAGGGACTTTGGAGGAAGAGAAGTGGGGGAGGGAAAGAATCGAGTATGGGAGGAGATGGAGGAGATGTACAGAGGGCCAGGAAATTGAACAGAGGTGTGTACCAATGGGGGATGGGGAATTGGGGGTAGTAACCAGAAAGTCCCAGATGCCAGGAAAGCAAGAACCTCCTAGAACCCCACGGGGATGACATTAGCTGAAATATCCCATAAAGGGAAGGGACAACCTGTCAAGGCCATATCCAGAGGTTAGGCATGGCTCCCCAGTTGAGGGATGGGGCCACCCACCCATCTCCAAAATTTTAACCCAGAATTGCTTCTGTTTAAAGGAAACACAGGGACAAAGAGGGAAGCAGAGTCTGAAGAAAAGGCCATCCAGAAACTGTCCCACCTGGGGATCCATCCCACATGCAGAGACCTAACTGAGACACTATTGCTGATGCCAAGAAGTACTTGCTGACAAGAGCCTGATACA